TCAATTACTCAAAATAAAGATGATTTGTCATCTTTTTATCACTTTGAAGACCATCTAGCACCATTTTATAGTATGGTGCGTGTTGAGTAAAGCAAGTTCCGTTGCGTTTTCCGTCGAAAATTGTGAGTCTCAATATGTTTGCTTAGAAAAGGCCAAAATGAACATTTATTGAATATTGGCGTCCTATACAACCAATTCTCCATTACCACCAACATGATACAGGCTTTCCTAAGTAAATTAACTTAAATTACACTTTCATCTTAGTGGAAATAGCACATATTCACCATATTCCGAAAAATGCAGCTGCGCAAGAGGTAACCTCTCGCTCATAACTTTTCCAAGATTTCGCCACCTACATTTCGAAGTGAGAACTACTAGAAGGAGGATAGTTTCCAAATTCTCCAAGTAAAACAGACGATTTTTGGGGCAAATCGGTCCATAAAGAAAAACTAATAATTTCCGGTGGATACTTTTGCTTGAATCGTGTAAGAAAACGTGTTTGCAAACTAACTGTTATGATTTCGGTATGGATCGGAGATGTTTTCATGGAAAATTATGCATAACAAGTTTGCACCCACAGGGAGAGGTTACCTCCTGCGCAGCTGCATTTTTCGGAAAATGGTGAATATGTGCGATTTCCACTAGGATGAAAGTGGAAATTAAGTGAATTTACTTAGGAAAGATTGTATCATGCTGGTGATAATGAAAATGGTTGTATAGGACGCTAATATTCGATAAATCTAGATAGAGCTGGAATTATGGCCTAACAGCTTTTGTAAACAATGACTTCTCTGGATGATTTCTAGAAATTCAAGGCTCACCCACGCAAACCAACATCCTCATCGGGTAGGGGAAGTCTTTCCATACCCGATGAGGATGTTTGTTTGCCTTAGTGAGCCTTGAATTGCTAGAAATCATCATGAGAAGTCATTGTTTACAAAAGCTGTTAGGCCCTAATTCCAGCTCTATCTAGAAATGTTCATTTTAGCCTTTTTTAGGTAAACAGATTGATACTCACAATTTTCGAAGGAAAACGCAACGGAACTTGATTTACTCAACACGCACCATACTATAAAATGGTGCTAGATGGTCTTCAAAGTGATAACAAGATGACAAATCATCTTTATTTTGAGTAATTGAGTAATTTACTTCTGTTTACCATCATATTTACGATGCAGCATTGATGTAGCCGTGAAATGAAATGAATATATCTTATGAAAGTTCAACTGGAAAAGTCAAAGATGCACATCAGTCTGATCGTAAAAACGTTTTCTTCTGCAATTCGATTGTTATATTGGAAGGATTTTACACAGGCTTGATGAAAATTATGATTCAACGCTAATTTTCACGAATTTTATATGCAGTCTGTCAACATTATCATCATCATGCAGTGGCCACATCTACGTCGAGCGTTTACGGCAATCTTCCAATAGCGGAAATTTTTCCCGATGAAAACAAATCACTGACACAATCACACCTTAGCAATCTCTATTGACAACAGAGCTGCCAGGTGGTTTTATAAAAAATCTGTATCCACTCTATTAAAAAATCTGTATTTTCTGTATTGACGATTTTTTTCTTAATTAATCATGTTTTGTTGTCTTACAAATACAGTGCATACAAAATAACCATAAAAAGTGCTTAACCACCTATTCGGGCTATCGTACTAACCATACGGGATATAATTGCGCCATTTGTGATATCGTCCGTACTTATTTATAAGAGTGATATGAAGCCGTTTGAAAATGTATGGAGATTTTAGTTTCTATTCATTATCTTCCTGATAAGCAGTTTTAAATGCAAAAAAGTGCACGAGTTCATTACTATTTGATATTTCTAATATAGATGAATACAATTAATTACATCATTTGTGTGGTAGTTACACCGAAAAGTCGAGAGATGTCGCCCGCCAGTGCTGGTAAAATCATTTTTGCAGTATGGAGAATATCAGAAAATCCGCAATTTCTTACGAAATACATTTTCAATGCAAGTAAAATGTTTACGAGTACTTGTATTTGTACCATTTTAATGTGCTCGGGCACTTTTCTTGTATTTAACATACATGCTTATATTGGAAATATTCAACCCGAATAGAAATTGTAATGTAGGAAACATCAGCAGACATCTTCAATACATTAAATTTTAACGTGTATTGCTGTAATCTTAATGTATTCAGACGTCAGTGTGACGTCCAAATACATAAAAATACATTAGCCTCAAACGTTACATCAGAATCAAACGTCTTGACGATGTAAAATTTGACATCAGAATACATCCAATGACAACAGAACCTAACGTTACATTAGAATCAAACATCATCACGATGTAATTTGTTGCACGCATAAAACATCAGAATACATCCAATGACAACAGAACCTAACGTTACATTAGAATCAAACTTCATCACGATGTAATTTGTTGCACGCATAAAACATCAGAATACATCCAATGACAACAGAACCTAACGTTACATTAGAATCAAACATCATCACGATGTAATTTGTTGCACGCATAAAACATCAGAATACATCCAATGACAACAGAACCTAACGTTACATTAGAATCAAACTTCATCACGATGTAATTTGTTGCACGCATAAAACATCAGAATACATCCAATGACAACCGAAGCTAACGTTACATTAGAATCAAACATCATCACGATGTAATTTGTTGCACGCATAAAACATCAGAATACATCCAATGACAACAGAACCAAACGTTACATTAGAATCAAAGTTCATAACGATGTAAATTGTTGTCCCTCGGTCTCTCGCCGCATGCAAAGTTTGTTTTTCCTGAGTCAGCACTACACGGCGAATGAGAACGACCCAAATTTGAGGTTAGTTCACTCATAAATCGCAAAAAGTGCAGGAACTCAGTTTTGAATTAATTTCCCTCATGTTCCGAATATGAGAAAAGCAAAGATTGGATTCTCTGGATTCGCGTAAATTTTTATTTTAGGGCAGATTTTTGAGGTTTTCCAGCGGAAAACATGCGGCAAATTTACTCATCCTGCACTTTTTTCGATATTGAGTACACTGTACTCAAATTTGCGTTGATCTCATTGACCGTGTACAGTTTTTTTTTTCGCAGTGGGAAAGAAGTTTTGGCATGCCCTGTGGGCAATGTTTATTTGTATGTAAAACAATGCCCTGGTGACGTTACAGTGCAAGAGTTAATTCAAGAGCAAATTTTCATTATGTCGTAAGTAACATTCGCACCGATCCGAGAAAAATAAAGTTTTGTTTGGATGACCGAAAATTTATTCCTATTTCCAATTAAACACAAATAATCCCATAGTGATAGCAATGTTTAACATATTTAGCAGGGTTTTAATCATACAAATGCAAATCGCTAGCTTTCATGCTAAAAAATACTGGTTTTTGAGTCAAAAGTTATTATACGTCGTTTGGTGGCCCCTATTGTTACTTAAGTCAAAGTGTATTTACCAGGATATTCGGGAGAATTATCAATTACGTCTCCTTACGTGCAGCCCATTTATCATTTTAGGACCACCGAAATCATCTTAACAACAAACAGTTCGATTTATTCACTATAATAATGAGAAAGCGAAACGACGAACGTACACTTTTCACGGGTTTCTCAGCGCTGTTACTTAAGTCAAACGGCATCTCCATACAAATTGGGTGACTTAAGTAACATCGAAAACTATTTTGATCGGAAGGTGATTACGTCGAAAAGCAATTTGACTGGTAAATAAATTTAAAAATGGGATTTAATCCTATATTCGGACAGTATATAGTGTAATAGCAGGAGAATCGATTGACACTGATAGCTCGACTTTGTTTACCTTTGTTACATTCGACGTAATGAAAATTTGCTCTTGAATTAGTGTTTTAATTGATTATTATCGTTTCAATTGAAAACCGATTTTACTCTTGTTCTGTACGTTAAACATAACGTCGGCTATAGTGTGCTGTACACGCTAACTTGAAAGTACCTATTAATGGTTGAAAAAGACCCATTTTGAAGAAAAGTGGCTTAACTCATTAAATGAGTAAATTTTTTACCCATTAATGAGTATCTGTTACCCATTAATGAGTAATTGTTAATCATTAATGGGTAACAGATACTCATTAATGGGTAAAATTGTTTAATCATCAATGAGTTAAACCACTTTTCTTCAAAATGGGTCTTTTTTTACTCATTAATGAGTACTTTCAAGTTAGCGTGTATACCGCATCCGTGTATACGAATACACTTACTACCCCTGTTGGGTGGTTTTGCTCCTCCGTTTTTGACAACATTAGAAGGAGAGAAGGAGACAAACTAGTCAAAAGTAGGTAAAAGTGAACTGGCCGTTGGGTACTTTTTTCTTACCGTGTACGAATACAGCACCCCACACGAATAAAGCCCTACAGTAAAAGTATGGACGACTGACACCACAAAACTGAAAAAAGCTGTTCCAATCGAGCAAAGCGGTGCATTTTGACGGTTCGATTGGAACAACTTTTGACAGACGTCCATACTTTTACTGTAGGGCTTTACACACGAATTGCCGGCGACAAAGTGACGTCATTTGACATTGGGCGACTTAAAGACTGACGTTTTTAAATTGGTGTGTTTTTTTTTGTCGTGCGCTCAGCCATCTTGTCTGGTTTGTTTATAAACAAACTAGACAAGATGGCTGAGTGCACGGAGCGCACCGCAAATTCCTTCACCCGAGCCGCGAAGGAAAGTAGCAACAGTAAGTAGCAACAGTAAGTAGCAACAGTAAGTAGCAACAGTAAGTATTCAAATATTTGTTATATTTAGTGTTATTATTTGTAATTTCTCATCCGGATTTCTCAAGCGGGTCAATTTTGATGTAATTATTTTCAAAAATTGATCCGGTTGAGGTAAGCATCCTTGCTGATGCAACGCATCAACAAGGATGTTTAACTCATCAGGATTCCTCCAGCGGATCAATTTTGAAAAATAATGACAAATTCTAACAAACATCCAAAATTTTGATTAATTTGTATTTTTTTTTTCAGCCGGCTGCTTCCAATAATTCCGGATTGGGACGTGTACGGAAATTGAATAGAGGTAGGTGTTAAACAGTTTTTATTAAGTGTAATTATTTTTAAAAATTGATCCGCTGGAGGAATCTGACTGAGTTAAGCATCCTTACTGATGCAACGCATCAAAAAGGATGTTTAACTCATCCGGATTCCTCCAGCGGATCAATTTTGATGTAACTTTTTTCCATAAATTGATCCGCTGGAGGAATCCGACGGATTTCACTGACTGATGCAAAGCATCAACAAGGATGATTAACTCATCCGGATTCCTCCAACGGATCAATTTTGATGTTACTATTTTCCAAAATTGATCCGCTGGAGGAATCCGGCTGAGTTAAGCATCCTTGCTGATGCAACGCATCAACAAGGATGTTTAACTCATCCGGATTCCTCCAGCGGATCAATTTTGAAAAATAATTACAAATTCTAACAAACAGATCCAAAATTTTGATTATTTTGTAATTGTTTTTTTTTCAGCCGCCTGCTTCCAATAATTCCGGAGGTGTTCGGGAATAGAGGTAAGTATTGAACAATTTGTTATTAAGTGTAATTATTTTTTTTTTTAATTGATCCGCTGGAGGAATCTGGCTGAGTTAAGCATCCTTATTGTAAGGATGTTTAACTCATCCGGATTCCTCCAGCGGATCAATTTTGATGTATTTTTTTTTCTTCCAAAAATTGATCCGCTGGAGGAATCCGGCGGATTTAATTGACTGATGCAAAGCATCAACAAGGATGATTAACTCATCCGGATTCCTCCAACGGATCAATTTTGATGTAACTATTTTCCAAAATTGATCCGCAGGAGGAATCCGGCTGAGTTAAGCATCCTTACTGATGTAACGCATTCCGATACCGGATCCCGATGTTTATGTTTAAGTTAAAGTTTTATTATAGTTAAGTAAAATTTAAAGTTAAGTTAAATTAAGTATGTAACAACTAAATTTAAGTTAAAATTATGTTAAAGTAAAAGTTATGTTGATGGTAAGATAAACTTATGTTAAAGTAAAAGTTAAAATTTATTTAAAGTTACGTTAAAGGTAAGTTAGAGTTAAGTTAAGGTTACGTTTAAGTTAAGTTAAAGTTATGTTTAAGTTAAGATAAAGTAAAGTTAAAGTTATGTGTAAGATAAAGTTAAGTTCAAGTTATGTTAAAGTTAAAGTTAAGTTATAATTAAGTTTAACTTATGTTAAGGTAGAGTTAAAGTTAATTTAAAGTTTTGTGAAATTTATGTTAAAGTAAGTTTAAAGTTAAGTTAAAGTTATGTAAGAGAAAAAGTTATGTTATAGTTATTTTAAAGGAAAGATAAAGTTTTGTTAAACTTAAGTTAAAGTTATCCCTAATAAACGGATACCATACACTAACGATGTCATAGATGGTACGACCATACCGCATAAAGTTGGGATGATATCCCGAATTGGTGGTTAGGCGCTTCTTATGGTTATTGTTTATGCGGGATGTTAAAGTTAATTTAAAGGTAATTTAAAGGTAAGTGAAAGTTTTGTTAGAGGTAAGTTAAAGTTATGTTAAAGGTAAGTTAAAGCTAAGTTAAAGTTATGTTAAACTTAAGTTAAATTTGTGTTATACGTAAGTTAATGCTATCTTAAAGTTAAAGTTATGCTAAAAATAAATTAAATTTATGTTAAATTTGGTAAAATTTAGGTTTTGCTAAAATTATGTTCAAGTAAAGTTAACGTTAAGTTTAAGTTAATTTAAAGTTAAAGTAAAGTTTAAGTTATTTTTAAGTTAAAGTTAAGTCTAGATTATTTTAGAGTTAAAGTTAAGTTTAAGTTATTTTAAAGTTTAAGTTAAGTTAAAGTTATGCTGAAGGTAAGTTAAAGTTAAGTTGAAGTTATGTTAAAGGTATGTTAAAGTAATTTTAAAGTTAAAGTTATGTTAAAATTAAGTTAAAGTTGTGTTATAGGTAAGTTAAAGCTATCTTAAAATTAAAGTTATGCTAAAAAGAAATTAAATTTATGTTAGATTTGGTAAAATTTAGGTTAAAGTTTTGTTAAAGTTAGGTTCAAGTAAAGTTTAGGTTAAGTTAAAGTTATTTTAAAGTTAAAGTTAAGTTTTAGTTATTTTAAATTTAAAGTTAAGTTCAAGTTATTTTATAGTAAAGTTAAGTTAAATTAATGTTAAAGATAAGTTAAAGTTACGTTAAAGTTGTGTCAAAGTTAAGTTAAAGTAATTTTAAAGTTAAAGTTATGTTAGAGCTTAGTTAATGTTATGGTAATCTTTATTTAAAGTTATGTTATAGGTAAGGTAAAGTTAAGCAAAAAATAAATTAAATTTATGTTATATTTGATTAAATTTAAGTTAAAGTTTTGCTAATATTATGTTAAAGTAAAGTTAAAGTTATGTTTAAGTTATTGTTAAGTTAAAGTTATTTTAGCTTAGCTTAGCTTAGCTTAGTCTGACTGCACGTATCGATAGTTGCACTCCGTGATTGATCTAAACCAGTGAAATTGTACAAAGATTGTTAAGTTAAAGTTATTTTAAAGTTAAAGTTAAGTTTAAGTTATTTTAAAGTTAATTTTTTGTTAAAGTTAAGTTTAAGTTATTTTAAAGTTAAAGTTATGTTAAACTAAAGTTAAAGTTCTGTGATAGGTAAGTTAAAGTTAAGTTGAAGTTAAATTAACGTTAAGTTAAAGTTACGTTAAAGTTAAGTTAACGTTATGTTATGTTATGTTAAGTATAAGTTAACTTAAAGTTAAGTTTAAGTTAAAGTTAAAATTAAAATAATTTTGAAGTTAACGTAATGTTCAAGGTAAAGTTAGGTGAAAGCTAAGTTAAAATTAAGTTAAAGTTATGTCAAAATTAAATTAGAGTTATGTTTATGCTTAAGTTAAGTTAAAGTTCAGTTAATGTTAGGATAAAGATATGTTGAATTTAAGTTAAAATTACGTAAAGGTTATGTTAAAGTTTAATTAAAGTTAAGTTAGAGATATGTTAAGTTTATGTTAGGTTAAGTTCAAGTTATGTTAATGTTAAATTTATTTTAAATTTAAGATTAAATTTAAAGTTAAGTTATAGTTCAGTTAATGTTAGGTTAAAGTTATGTTAAATTTAAGTCAAAATTAATTTAAGGTTTTGTTAAACTTTAGTTCAAGTTAAGTTAAAGTTATGTTAATGATAAGTTAAAGTTATTATAAAGTTTAAGTTAAGTTAAAGATCTGTTTAGTTCATGTTAGGTTATAGTTAAGTTCAAGTTATGTTAATGGTAAACTTATTTTAAATTTAAGATAAAATTTAAAGTTAATTAAAGTTAAGTTAATGTTAGGTTAAAGTTCTGTTAAATTTAAGTTAAAATTAATTTAAGGTTATGTTAAAGTTTAGTTCAAGTTCAGTTAAAGTTATGTTAAAGTTAAGTTAAAGTTATTATAAAGTTAAAGTCAAGTTAAAGATGTGTTAAGTTAATATTACATTAAAGTTAAATTAAAGTTATGTTAAATTTAAGTTAAAATTTAGTTAACAACAACGTTTAAGTTAAGTTAAAATTTGGTTAAAGTTATGTTAAAGTTAAAAATAAGTTAAAGTTTGTTAAAGTTAAGTTAAAGTAAAGTTAAAATTACGTTAGAGTGAAGTTAAAATTAAAATGATTTTAAAATTAAAGTAATGTTCAAGGTTAAGCTATGCGAAAGCTAAGTTAAAATTAAGTTAAAGTTATGTCAAAATTATGTGAGAGTTATATTAATGCTAAAGTTAATTTAAAGTTAAGTTAATGTTAGGTTAAAGTTATGTTAAAGTTATGTTAAAGTTAAGTTAAAATTAAATTAATGTTATGTTAAAGTTAAGTAAAAAAAGGTTAAGTTTAGTTAAAGAGAAGTTAAAGTTAAGTTAAAGATGAGTTAAAGTTAAGGTTAAGTTATGATAAAGTTAAATTAAAGTTAAGTTAAGATTAAATTAAAGATAAGTTAAAGTTAAGTTAACGCTAAGTTAAAGTTAAGTTAAAGTTAATGCTAAGTTAAGTTAAGTTAACGTTAACGTTATCTTAAAGTTATGTTACAGATAAGTTAAAATTACGTTAGAGTGAAGTTAAAATTAAAATGATTTTAAAATTAAAGTAATGTTCAAGGTTAAGCTATGCGAAAGCTAAGTTAAAATTAAGTTAAAGTTATGTCAAAATTATGTGAGAGTTATATTAATGCTAAAGTTAATTTAAAGTTAAGTTAATGTTAGGTTAAAGTTATGTTAAAGTTATGTTAAAGTTATGTTAAAGTTAAGTTAAAATTAAATTAATGTTATGTTAAAGTTAAGTAAAAAAAGGTTAAGTTTAGTTAAAGAGAAGTTAAAGTTAAGGTTAAGTTATGATAAAGTTAAATTAAAGTTAAGTTAAGATTAAGTTAAAGATAAGTTAAAGTTAAGTTAACGCTAAGTTAAAGTTAATGCTAAGTTAAGTTAAGTTAACGTTAACGTTATCTTAAAGTTATGTTACAGATAAGTTAAAGTTATGTTATGTTATGCTCAAGTTAACCCGAAAAAAAATAACAACAAAAATACATTAAAAAACAATGTAACAATAAGACGAAAATTATTGTTTTAACAATGATTTATATTGTTACGTCTACAATAAATTTACCTTGATTTATGTTGTACAAAACAGTAAATTTCATGGTAAATGGAAAATTTACAATAAAAAAGGGGGGTTGTTAAGTATCTTAACAATGAAATTTTCGTGATTTTCCCATATAATTTTTTTTTCAATAACATAATATATTATTGTTATTTTACTGTTGGTTGGCGAATTTATTGATCAAAAAAATAACAGTGTACTTTAGAGTGTATGTGTTGGCTTGACAGATCTACTTTATCGATTTTAAAAATAAATCGAAAAAATAAAACATTGCCCCGGGAAGGGAAGGGGGTGGCATGTCTGTTATGGGTGGTCCTTTTTTTTACTGGTTATGGATCGAGATTCGATCCGGAACTTGTGAGAAATACAGGCCAACTCCCCTGCGCTCGATATCCCTAGGTCACGTCTCCTTGGGGGTTGAGCGCCGTTGATAAGTTAATGCATTCGACTGGAGAGAATCGCCCATGAAATATGCTTCCACCTCGAGGGGGGCGACACATCTAAATCTCAATTCTAGATGATCAAAAAATCTTATACTAGCGAATCAATCTTCGAAAAATCATCTTTCATTTTTCCCATCTACTTGCATCGTGCTTCATCTTTTTGCAGGAAATCTTCAAAATCGACATAAATCTTCCTTCTATCTACTCAGCGTGCGTGCAGCTAGCCACAGTAAAACACAATCTTTTCTGCATCGTAGATAGAGTCGTCCCCCTCGTTCCACCTGAGAGTTCCTTTCTGACATCTTCAAGTGGTGGAGTTTTTTATTATTATTGTATGATTATTCCCTAATAAAAAATAACCATAAACGAACGATAACCCAAATCATTGAACTATTTCACAAATGGTTTGGATGATACCCAGAACACGTCGTTAAGCAAATTAACCATACAATTTTTATTAGGGTTGACTGCACGGAAAAGGTCTCCATTAAGCTTTAGAGAGGGTCTAGGATAAGATATGAGCGGACGCGGACTGCCTGATTTTGAGCCAAACGAACTGTCAAAGCCAGAGCCATACGAGCAGCGCCTATCTTAGTTACATTGGCAGTGTTGCTGACCCTCTCATAGTCTGCATGCTTCAATCAGATTTATTTTTATTGTTCGTGAAGTAACCCACAATGAAAATACACCAATATTTAATGTAACAACAATTTTTATTGTAATAGAGTTGTTCATTATTGTTCATTATCGAATCATGTTAACAATAAAATAAATGAAAAATACGATAAAAATTATTGTAACAACATTTTATTATGTACATTCATTGTACATCTAGGTAGCAGTTTTGCCGTTTTCGGAAGAGTACAACATTATAACAATCATTTTTATTGTCGACAATAAATATGAATGTTAGAGCATTGTTTCCACTGAAAATTTCACTGTAATTTTTTTTCGGGAAGTTAAAGTTGAAGTAATGTTCAAGGTAAAGTTATGTGAAAGCTAAGTTAAAATTAAGTTAAAGTTATGTTAAAATTAATTTAGAGTTATGTTAATGCTTAAGTTAAGTTAAAGTTCAGTTAATGTTAGATTAAAGTTATGCTAAATTTAAGTTAAAATTACGTTAAGGTTATGTTAAAGTTTAGTTAAATTTATGTTAAAGCTAAAGTGAAGTTAAAGATATGGTTAGTTGATGTTAGGTTAAAGTTATGTTAAAATTTAAATTATAATAAATTTCAGTTAAAATTAAGTTAAGGTTATGTTAAAGTTTAGTTAAAGTTAAGTAAAAGTTATGTTAAATTTTCCTAAAAATCTGCAAATTACTTAGACGATCTTCGAACTTCCCTGAAGTTCTGTGTACTCCCTGAAGGTCTGTGAATTTCTCTGAAGATCTTCGAACTACCCTGAAGCATTAAAATATTAAAAATTTCTCTAAAAGTCTACAAAACTTTCCTGAATTTCTGCAATTTTTTTCTGAAGCAATAAAAAGTTATCTGAAGACCTCCTTTAAGTTCTGCAAATTTCTCTGAGGATCAACAATCTTCCCTGAAATTCAGTATTTTTCCCTGACGTTCTGCCAATTTGCCTAAAGCTCTGTGAACTGCCCTGAAGTACTGAAAATAACTCTTAGATGTACGAGGATCTTTAAATTTATGTGATCTTCCCTGAAGTTCTGTGAGTTTATCTAAAGTTCTGCGAACTTCTCTGAAATTCTGTTCTATAAATTTCCCTTAGGAACTAAAAAATTATCTTTAAATTTACGAACATCATTGTAGTTCTGTTAATTTCTCTGAAGATCTTCAAACTTCCCTGAAGATCTGTGAACATCCATAAAGTAGTGATTATTTCTCGAAACGACGACAAACATTACTGTAGTGCTGTAAATTACTCAGAAGATCTACGAACTTCCCTGATTTTCTTTTGATTTCTCTAAAGATTTCAGTTTTTTAAAACTTCTCTGAAGTTTTTTTTTTTAATTTCCCTAAAGTTCTGCTAGTTTCTCTGAAGATCTACGACCTTCGGTGTAGTAAGATCTTCATAACAATTTCCGATTATTCTACGTTCTGAAGAAATTTTCAAACGACTTCAATTCGATTTTTTTATCAGATGTTGGTCCTCAGAATAACTCCTGATCAACTTGACCTCTTCGAAAAATATCTCAAGATTTTAATTTCTAATCCTTATCAACCTGACCACTTCGAATATTTTCTAAATTACTTTATTTGAATTTCTGATCAGTTGTAGGTCTTCAAAACAATTCCTGCTTATTTTGATCTCTTGTAGTAATATCCGAAAAGTTTCGATTGATTTATTGATCAGTTGTAGGTTCTCAGAATAATACCTGATCAATTTAAACTATTCAAAGAATATCAAAAGGACATCGTTTGAATTTCTGTTCAGTTGTAGGTCTTCCCGCATAAACGCGAACCATAAATTGACCTTACCTAAAATGGTTAAAAATTGTTTATAATCCCTGCTAAACTTTAACTGAAATGGTTATGGAACTTTACATGAACGTTTAATGATAAAGTTTCAACCTTATGTATAATGGTTTTTTGGAACTGGACCTTACAAATAATGGGTTGTTAAGAACCATTACCATTCCAAATTCTTGTTTTCTCCATACATTTTCAGAAAGAGAACTATATAAGAACGTTTTTACTTATGATTTGAGAACATTAATGGTAATGGTTATGGTAGTCAGTAAGGTCCATTAATGGTTTTGTATTATCGCTCAACTTTACGTGGAATATAACGTGAATTGGTAATCAGTAAATTACAGGCAACCAATTCGCGATATATTCCACATAAAGTTGATCGATGTTACAAAACCATTCGTGGACCTTACTGACTACCATAACCATTACCATTAAAGTTCTCAAACCATAAGTTAAAAGGTTCTAATATAGTTCTCTTTCCGAAAATGTATGGAGAAAACAAGCATTTGGAACGGTAATGGTTCTTAACAACCCATTATTTGTAAGGTCCAGTTCCAAAAAACCATAATACATAAGGTTGAAACTTTATCATTAAACGTTCATGTAAAGTTCCATAACCATTTCAGTTAAAGTTTAGCAGGGATTATAAACAATTTTTAACCATTTTAGGTAAGGTCAATTTATGGTTCGCGTTTATGCGGGTTCAGAATAATTATTAACTTAAATTAAATTAAATCTGGTATTTTTCTGATGTTTATAGAACTACCAACAATCAATACGAAACTAACGATTTTAAATTGGCTCACCACTTTAGTAGCCTATTGGTCCCAAGCAAACGATTAACGTACCCTATTCTAGTTGAAATTCTATTACTACACTATGTTTGTTTTGATTCGCTATGAAAATTTGACAGATAACATCAGGGGTGTGTGGATTCATGCAGAACATGCAGGGGTGAGTGAAATAGCTTGGGACTGCTTGGGACCGTTGTTCTGGTACTGAGTGAGCCAAAAATAATAATGATTTTCTTCGGGACCCAGTGGTCTTAGAGTTACCTCTATGGAACTACCCTGAAGTTCTAGTAGTTCTTCTAACTAACCTTAAAATGTACATTTACCCCTATACCGCTATGCCGCTGTCCTGGTGTCATTGGGTTCGGCCCTTTACCTGGCTCGTAGACATTTCAAAGACAACAATGTCTGCATGATGTTTATACATCGGTTCAAACTATGCGTATTGATAAGTTTTCTGAAAAGATTTGGATCTAGGTGCATAGTTTGCTTTGATAGTCTTTCAGTTTCTCTAGCATTCTCTAGTCTTAGCTCATCTAAATATTTATTGCAAAATCCCTGGATTAATCTTCAATTTGGCTTTGTTTTCTTGTTTATTTTCTATCGTTCTATGTTCTGCAACCGAGTGGCAACCACTTACGCTAGGGAGGCAATTGAACACCTAGACCTGGACTCATCAACTCAAGGGCCAGGATCCACGGCTGTGCTTCTTTTCGAAGGAAGGCATGACACCACCAAAGCAACCAAGGAAGTCATCAATCCCCACCAACTGACGAGTTTCGTTTGTGGTTCGACACATGGACGGAGCATTTGTGTTTTGCTAAATTTTGCAAATTATTGGGGAATTTCCCTAAAGTTTCACGCGGCCACCAGTTTTCACTCTTCCACAGGCCTTAAGCACAGACAAACAGACGTAACTCTTCATTGTGTATCTTCGTTCATGCATTTAACGGTTGATTTGAATATTATCAGTTCCGCGAACTACTCGCCGCAGCGCTGGCATCGGATCACTTTGACGTTTCTATATATTCTATAGAACTTTTATGCAATATTGTTTACGAGCTAGCGAGCAAGCTTGTTTTCCGCGAGAAGCCAGAGAGATGTCGCTACTGAGGTTATATGTTTTGAGATACTATGTTTTCAAGAACAAGTTTTTCAAAGAGTTACGTCTGTTTGTCTGTGCCTTAAGGGTAACCCACATTAGATCTGCTTGCGTTGCGTTGTCGTAAATTTTATAGTTAGACAATATATTTAGCTGTCACTTTGCTGCATCGCTCCAGATCCGGATCTAATGTGGGTGGCCCTGTAGATTTGGAAACTTGATTATGTAAACACTACACAGCAAAAAAAGTTGTTGAATATTACATCGAAACTGCTGCAACCAAGTCAATCAATCGGTTGTGTAATATCACATTGTACGATGTACATCGATTTTGCGAACAAAATTACATCCATTGATGTAATATTGTATCTGCTTTTTGCTATTACATCATTATTTCATGCATCAGCTTGAATTACGTTGATCGATATTACATTTTTTTTTGCTGTGTAGGCATCTTTGTCTGGTAGTTCGTTCAAAAATGATACAACAATCGTCAAGCTCGCTGTAACGTCACCTAGTGCCTCGTCACCTACAAATTGGCGCCTATGTCAGTGGTCTAATAACTCTTAGCGCGCTAATGGCATAGTTCCCCTGCCGCATAGAGAGTTACCACAATGACATTAGGTTAGCTAAGGTCAGTTAACTGACTGGTGGGAAACGGGAGCTTACGCAATGGCTATTCTGTATGCATTTAAGAGATAGTCTACCAGAATGGATGATTTTTTTTGTACAATTTTATGTTTTCTGATTGTGCAAAACATGAGAATTAACTTTTCCAATGCTTTCAATTGTACAAAGCATTAGTGCTAGAAACATGATCTTGTAAACACTACACACCTTAACTGTTAGTTTGATTAAAAAATGCTGCAACAATCGTCAAGCTCGCTGTAATGTCACCAAGTGCCTCGTCACCTACAAATTGGCGCCTATGTCAGTGGTCTAATAACTCTTAGCGCGCTAATGGCATAGTTCCCCTGCCGCATAGAGAGTTGCCGCAATGACATTAGGTTAGCTAAGGTCAGTTAACTGACTGGTGGGAAACGGGAGCTTCAGCATTGACAGTTATGTACGCATTTTTATGATGTTATCTAACAACAATGGTGTGTAGTGTTTACACGATTATGTTACTAATTCTAATGTGTTGTAAATATAATTGAAAGCATTTGAAAAGTAAGATTCTAGTGGTTATACTACTTAAAACATAAGTAAACATCTACATTTTAAAACATTCAAACAACGTTTACTTTAAACGTTTTGTACATCTGAAAACATCAGAGAACAACAAACAGGAAATACAATTGAAAACATCCGAACAACGTTTAGTTCTAACGTTGTGTACATCCGAAAACATCCAAAAAACGTTTGGTTCTAGCATCGGGAAACATCTACATAAGAAAACATTAGAATACATTTACATATAAAAACATCCGAACAACGTTTAGTTCTAACGTTTTTTACATCCGAAAACATCCAAAAACGTTTGGTTCTAACATCAGGAAACTTCTACATTAAAAAACATCAGAAAACATTTACATATAAAAACATTTAAACAACGTTTAGTCCTAACGTTTTTTACATCCGAGAACATCCGAAAACGTTTGGTTCTAACATCGGGAAACATCTACATTAGAAAACATCAGAAAACGTTTACATATAAAAACATCCGAACAACGTTTAGTTCTAACGTAATGTACATCAGAAAACATCCTTAAAACGTTTGGTTCTAATGTCAAGAGATTGAAATTTTTGACGTCAGACCGACATTAGAATGGCAAAATTTTGTTCCAAAATTTCTGATGTATACACCATGTTACGTTGCTTAAATACAACTAATTCATAATGTTTTCTAATGTTTGACATCAGGCATACATTTGATTTCGATGCTGATGTAGACATCAAAATCAAACGTTGGGCTAATGTAAATTTCTATTCGGGAATTAATACTGTAAATCCCCATACAATCTCAAATCGTTTACTACCAGCTCCATATGCATCCGAAAGCGGTTGGTCCTCTGGTTGTGAATACTGTCAAAAACACCATAACATGATTAATTATTGTCGATGGAAATTTGATAGGTTCCCGAGCAGAGGGTGAGAACAAAATGAAAACAAGAATTATGTTGTTTTCATTATTCCTGATAACTCAAATTGATTTCATTTTGAAGGAGTTGATGGCTAACAGAACAAAAATGAGAGCTAAAAGATATGCGAAGAATATCAAAATTATAACATATATTGATATTAGTGAGAACTGCTTGATAACTTATTTTGATATAGATTTTTTTTTCTCAAGCATTTTATAAAAATCTGTATAAATCTGTATTGTAATTTAAAAATCTGTGATAAATCTGTATTCTGTATCGGGTCTGTATTAAGATTAAAAAATCTGTATAATACAGATAAATCTGTATAAATGGCAGCGCTGATTGACAAATCCAAGTTTATGCCGGCCACCGCGGCGCTGTAATCGTAGCGGTGATGAACTTGAGATCATCTGTCAAACTGCATATATTTTCAAGTTTGTGATAAGAAACCTATGTTTTACGTGTTATTATAATTGCTTTATTCAATAACAGAAAGCAAATATGAACAGAAAAGTAGCGCTGGTAAGAATGGTAAGTAAATCCTTATTTTTAAATGCAAAATCAATGAGATTTCTTCAAAATGAAAAATAGGTTGCTCCCAGCAAAACATAAACAAATAATGTTAACAATTTTCTTACAGTATTTAAACTGAGAATGCAATACCGAAGGATCATCCCATCGGAAATTGAATTAAATCAATTAATTTTGCTGTTTGAGGTGAGTTGTTAGAACAATTTTACATATTGAAGCAATCAAAACAATATATTGTTCCATCCGCAGGAACATCATCTTTCTTATAGCTGAATCCGCTGCGAAACCATTAGGAGGTTATCACGCCTGGTTTGGTAGATTCAGACGAGCGGGACTACAAAGGCAGTACCAAAAGTGCCTGTGTCGCAGACGGCATTGGATACCCGGAAAAAAAATACGCTAAAATATAAACATTCACAACAAAATCTTTTTCGAACAATCGGTCCTATTGTGTGTATATCATACAAGTAAATTTAAAATATTGCTATTACAATAGATGTACGATACGTACCATATAGTATGAATTTTCAACAATAAAAAACAATAAAATTAATGATAAATGGCTCAAGTTTGTTCCAGAAAAGAGATTTTTTTATGCTTAAGATACATAACAACCCGGATAAAAATAACCATAAAATTACAATAAAATACCAATAAAATACAATAGATTCTATTGTTGACAATTAATCTTATTGCAATTCTATTGTATTGTCCAAATACCCGAATAAAAATTAACCATACAAAAACAATAGAACCTATTGTTACAATACATTAAAACCTATTGTAGCAACAATAAATGTCATTGTCAAAAACAATAAAAATACAATAGAACTTATTGTTATGTACACTATAATCTATTGTTTATGAGACATTTACAATAGAAAAGGGGGGTTGTTTGTTACCGTAACCATAAAAAAATCAATTTTTTCTCGAACAAATTTGATCTCATTACAATAAATTTTATTGTTTTTTTATTGTGCGAAATTTTGATTCCATAGAATTTGTTGTAAACCTATTGTGGTGACTATTTGATTATTTGGACAATACAATAGAATTGCAATAAGATTAATTGTCAACAATAGAATCTATTGTATTTTATTGGTATTTTATTGTAATTTTATGGTTATTTTTATCCGGGTAATCAAATAGTCACCACAATAGGTTTACAACAAATTCTATGGAATCAAAATTTCGCACAATAAAAAAACAATAAAATTTATTGTAATGAGATTAAATTTGTTTGAGAAAAAATTGATTTTGTTACGGTAACTAACAACCCCCCTTTTCTATTGTAAATGTCTCATAAACAATAGATTATAGTGTACATAACAATAAGTTCTATTGTATTTTTATTGTTTTTGACAATGACATTTATTGTTGCTACAATAGGTTTTAATGTATTGTAACAATAGGTTCTATTGTTTTTGTATGGTTAATTTTTATTCGGGAACCCCCTTGTCCTATTGTAGATTATCCAATTTACCATAGATACTACTGTGGAAACAATAAATTCTATGGTTATTTTATCGTTGTGGACAATACGATTTATTGTAAATGCAATAAATTATATTGTATGGTTACAATACATTTCATTGTACCTCTGTGGTTCTTTTTTTTACGGGTAGTTTGCCTGATCACCATATAACCGAGTGAAAACTCTTTCTTCTCTGGTATAAGTAGAATCTCTATGGTAAGTAGAATTAGATATTTAAGTGCTAAATTATTGAAATAAAAAAAAAAATCGTAGAACAAACATGATAAAACAACGAAATTCCTGCATGCTTCAATCGATGGTTGCAAATCATATCCGCCAAATCATATACCAGCACGTTGTTGTTGGTCACGTCTCCATATCAACATTAATCGATGTGGTATGGCTGTTAACATAACCATGCCCATAACCTCATCATGTTTTTTTCAATTTTATTTGAAAACTAGTAATTTTTATTTTGGGATCGACACATATCACAATAGTTTTTAAGGTTTTGAACAAGATTCATTCATTTTAATAGCATATTTACACGAACTAGCACTGTAATTTAACAAATTTTCATAAAAATAATGAAATTTCCAAGGGCTGTCACTAGCTGATCACCGTCGGATAGTGTTTATTCCTGTCACCAGGCGCGCATTAGTTTAAGTTGGATTCGTCAATAGGAGTAAATAGAGTCGGTG